CCTGGTGACGGGGAGGATCTGGGGGGAGAGAAAATGCACCAGTGGCTGGGGAGACTGGGGAAGAGAAAATGCCCCTGGCAGCCAGAGGGGCTGGAGGAGGAAAAAACATCCCAGGGATCAAGTGGCAATAAAAGGAGAAAAACACCCCTGGCATCTGGGTGATGGGAATGCGGGGAGAGAAAAGGCCTGTGCCAGATGGTGCCAGATGGAACCCTCTGCCCAGAGCCCTTTCTCACTTCCAACTCTCACTCTCGTACCTCCGCAACCACCAGCCCTTCTGAACTCCCCCCACAACCCCAAGGCCCTGCCCTGAGTCCTGCACTCCCCACATCGCCAGCCCCCTGAACTGAAGAACCCAGGCAATACTGGGTAAGTCTGCTAGTTGCTGTTATTATTAATAACAGCGTGTAATCAACCTGTGGAACTCCTTGCCAGAAGAGGCTGTGAAGGCTAGGACTATAATAGAGTTTAAAGAGAAGCTAGATAATTTCATGGAGGTTAGGTCCATAAAAGGCTATTAGCCAGGGGGTAAAATGGTGTCCTTGGCCTCTGTTTGTCAGAGGCTGGAGAGGGATGGCAGGAGACAAATAGCTTGATGATTGTCTTCAGTCCACCCTCTCTGGGGCACCTGGTGCTGGCCACTGTCGGCAGACAGGATACTGAGCTAGATGGACCTTTGGTCTGACCCAGTACGGCCGTTCTTATGTTCTTATGTAATAATAATAACGCCTAATAATATTAATAATAATAATACTTAGCACTTACTAATACAGCACTTTTCATCAGCAGCTCTCAAAATGCTTTACAGAGGTGGTCTCATTATCTCCATTGCACAGATGGGAAAACTGAGGCTTTCAGCGGCAACGTTGTTTACTCACTATCACCCACATGACCCAGTGGAAGAAAGGGGAATAGCAGTCTGGTCTCCTGAGTCCCAGTCCAGTGCTTTATTCACTAGGCAATACTGCCTCCCTGCAAACCCAACAGGAAACAAGATTTGAAACTGTGACACTTATTCTATATTCTACCACCAAATTGAACAGCATTCCACTGTGTGGGTGGGGAAGATGAGGGAGCAATAGATCAGCTGTTTTATGGTTCCTATTATACAGCACACAGATTCATCTCAGATGCTAGACAGCAGCACTCTGATAGTATGGTCATATGAGTGCTGTAAAACTGAATGAGATTGTGTAACTAATTCAGGGATTGAGACTGCAGGGTGCTGAGCACTCTGGCCTTAGTGCAGCAAAGCATTTCAGTACATACTTAAATGTAAGCATATGCTTAAGTCCCATATGAAAGTCAATAAGACTTTGACATCCTAGACTCACAGGACTGGAAGGGACGTAGAGTGGTTTTCTAATCCAGTTCCCTTCACTCAAGGCAGGACATATGTGCTTGAAGTTAAGCATATGCTTAAGTGCTTTGTGGAATCAGGTCCTTAAACAGGTGCTAAACTCCAGACCTGAGTGCAACTGACTCAATTCACTGGGACTACTCATGTGCTTAAATTTAAAATCCTGATAGGGTGCCTTTCTAGATAGAATTCTACTAAGAGTATACAAGTGATTTCTTGTGAGTTACTCTCTCTGGTCCTACTGGCAGAAGTACATGTTCTTTTTCTTGCCATGGCTCATTAGCTGATTTTCCCTTGTTCACGATTTGAAGTACCTACCTGGATGATATGGTGAAAGTTTTATCTCCCATACTGCTTAGGACAGTGGATACATTATCTGCTTAAGTGGCTAATGCTATTCTAAATGGTCAGTATAAGATTGCTACACATTGGCAGCGAAAAGGCACCCAGGTCATTTATAGCTGACATTGTGATTTAAAAAAATAAATATATTAAAATCAATAATTTTCACTAAGAGGCCAGTAGGACTCTAAACCCTCAGAAAACAACTCATGGGGGCTGTTCAGAGGCACCCAAATGGATGGTGCACTAACAAGTAGCAATATAAAGGGGTAACAGGTTATATCATGAACAAGGGGAAATCAACTAATGAGCCATGGGGAGCAAAAGTAGGACCTGCCGGTAGGACCAGAGGAACTGACTCACAAGAAGAAATCACTTGCATACTCTCATTAGTGCACTATTTAGAAAAGCACCAGAATAGGTTTTTAACGTTAAGCATGTGAGCAGTCCCCTTGAAATGACCTTAACTTTACCGAGTGATGCATATAAGTAACTGGCTAAGCAGCAGCCCACCTGCGGCATGGTGCAGTGGACCTGGCCTGGCCCAGAGCAGCCCCCCACTCACGCTATTACATGCTCAGCTCAGCCTGGCAGGAGCAGCCCACTGTGCATAAGGCCCAGCCAAGCCAGAGCAGCCTCCCACCCATGGCATGATGCAGGTGGAGGGCTGCTCCACGCTTAACCAGTTAAACATAGTGTTTAATCGGTTAACTTTTTAAAAGGCAGTTTACATCCCCACTAACAAGCGCCCCTATCCAGGGCATAGTACAAAAAAAAATCTAACCCACTGATTTCAATAGTCCTGTGGAGTAAGCTACTTAATACAATGAGAGGATCAGAATCTGGTTTTATATGGAGTTATTTGCACAGAGCACTAGCATGATCAGGTCCCCATTTTTGTAGCATCTAGATGAACTCTTGAGGTCCCCTATTCAAAGGTTAGATTCTGCCACTCCTGTCCTTACTTCTTCAGCTGAGCAAAGGTGGCAAAAATCTCTCTCTCAGGGCCTGATCCAAGGCTCATTTAACTCAATTGATTTAGCGCACAGAGGGATCAAAGAACATTTTTGCATTACAGTTGAGATAATCCATCATCTCTGCCACTAATCTCAGATCTGCTTGATGGATCTGAAAAGAGGATACAAGCACTAGGCTTACAGCAGCTAACTACAGAACATTAACAAATATGAATGCCACCCCAAATTAATAATAGGGGGATTTGTGACATCAGGACATTGAAGAGGAAGGTGATAGAGGGTGGATAGTAGGCTCTTTAGAAATAACAAGTTATCAGTAAGCAATAACATAGAGGAAGCACAGTCAATTTTTGTTCTACAAAAATATTTTAATTCATCTAAATTATGCAGCAAGTGAGATAACATTTTTACAATGTGTGGTCTTGATATTCAAAAGATGATTAATCTTTTTTAAATAGCAATTTATTATGTTCTACAGAAGAATACACAGATAAATATGATGGTGAGTGAATACATAAGTACATAAGCAAGTATTTTACAATGATGTCATCCATTTCACTAGACAGGAAAGTATCTTTTCAGCATACAGGTAAGTTACTCACAGTTTTCTCATAATACTATTGCGGTCTTAAAAAATGTCCCCGTTTTAGTGGGCAATAAATATTATTTGATAACTGTTTTTAAATGAATTACTATTTCATTGTTGTCCTATTTTTCCATTCGGCAATGAGGCCGGAGCTTTTGAATTTGGAAATTGTCACTTGGAAAGTAAATCTCTTACTTTTGTTAAGGCGCACTTGTTTGGCATGAGCAGCATATATGATTCCTGGAAGAGAAAAATGAATATGATCTGAAGAGAAACTTTACTAGCCTCAGACCCAGGCCACAGTTGTTTGCGTTTGTGATGATAGTAAGTAGCAGGAACTTCTTTTATTTCTTACCTATAAATGCATATTGGTTGCTGTCAGTCTTTTTTGTTTTGTTTTGTTTTTATTTTATGTAGGCCATGAGCAGTCTGTATGCTGGAGCCCATTGCTCTTCAGACAAGATCTGGGACTGTCTGGCTAATCCTACTTGTCTTATATTCCTTAACTGCACTTTTCAGTGTAGTTCTATCACAGCTACTGGTGGTGTCAGCTGGGAGGGGAAGTTGAGGGAAGTAAATAATTCTACTAGTCTTACTCAGATACAAGATAGGGTCAGGATTTGGCACTTTGCCTGGGATACTTGAAATTCTCCTTATGAGATTAAAGCTCATTGCTTTTTCCTTCAGTACAATTGAAAATGACTTACCTTTTCCCAACAGGGCAATACCTGAGAACAGAAAGTTAGCTCTCAGGCAGGGAGCATGAGAATCCGGATATCATTCTAAGCACACGCTGTATGCATACAATATAATTGCTGATGACTAGTGGCTGCATAATTTATTAATGTAATGAAGATGATAAATTTATATTGAAAGTTTGATTCTTCACTACTGTAAATGTGTATTATCAATGTAATATTATTATTGTGTTATTTGTTCTTACTACTAATTTTTATAATAATTTATAATGAAAGGTCATTATTTATTAGTCACAGACTAAACCTTCTAGTAGAGAGCATTTTTTTCTTCTACAATTCTAATCCTACCAAATATGTTGAAATAAAGGTTAGAAGGTGACTTGTGAGCTCCTTTCTAATGAGATAATTCATTCATTTTCCTACTACCCAGGGCTTTCTGAAATGAAAGGCCCATGCTAATAGGAAAGCCAGTGCTGACCAGGCCTGAAGGTGCTGACCTTTGCTTCCCTGTGCCCTCGAGTGGGGGTGGAGGAGGGGAAATCTGGCAGTCCATGGATCAAGTGACCTCCAGAATGCTACAATGGGACCTGAGCACAACCCAGTGTTCCCATGTCCATCTTTCTCAATACACAGCTCATCCTTGCCCAGTGAATGAGGGACATTACCAATGAGTGTGATAACATTACTAGAGCGGGCATGTTAGCTTTTCTTTTCTTTTACACACACACACACACACACACACACACACACACACACCACCGTGGGGAATTTCTGTGCAGTGGCTGTGAATATATCATTGCAGGCTATGATCTATAAAGCTATTTACACTGAGGTAACAAGCAACCTGTTTTGCAGATAAAACAAGGTCTGCATTGCATCACATACACACCCATACCAAAAAAAAGCAGATCAGGTTAAGTTCTGTTTTAGAGAGAGAAATAAAAATGACCTATAAATTGCATTTTGCATGTGTGTGTGTGTGTGTGTGTGTGCGCGTATGTGTATGTATACACACAGAGAGAGACAAAGTGGAATTGCACTATAATTATTTATTTAGTTTTGCTAGAGGGAATAATATTTGCAATACAGGAGGTTGGAACCGTGACCCTAATGAAAAATAGTTTTAAAGTGTATAGTGACTCCTGAAGATGATCCCCCCTCTCTCTGTCCGGGACCGAAATCACCAGATCTAATTAGTTTCATAATAGGATGCTGCTCCTCCAATTGCATCAAGAGATTAGCTGCTTTGAGGCGATATAGGATTATGTCCCTCACACACCAGTTTAGGGCGATGGAACACCAAATTGCCCAGGGTCCAAGCCACTGTTTCACGTGAGGAGGGGACAACCTGAGGACTCTGGTTAAATTCTAACCAAAGCCCAATCAATGGGAATTGTTGCTTTCCCACAACAATTGCAGCTGTCTGCCGCATCAGTGAATGAGTAAATCGAAGCAGACCAGGCCTCCCGGCATTACGGACTAGGAATTGGGTGAAGGGGTCTTCTCCTGAGATATTTATTGACTTCATAAAATCTGACTCTGGGGACAGAGGGACAGGGGCTCATTTGTGCAAAACGTTCGGCGCTAGAAACGCTAAGTGTGCGTTAACTCGTCTCCATTGTTACAATTGCACTTGGTTGCGGTGGGAAGCCGGATCCTGTGTGCACTGGGAGCTGGGCTGACTCGTTATTACTGCAGTTATCTCCCAAGCCAATCGGGTTCACTCCCCCAGTTGTGCTCCTTTGAGAGTTTGTGGCTTTCCCCTCCTCGCCCGTCTTTGGAGGTGGGGAGGGGAGTTACAGCAGAGTTGCGCTGATCCCTCCTTCGGGACACCGGGATGTGCTTCTGGGGAAGATAAACACGTATAAATGTTCACCCACAGAAGCCTGTAGCAAAGTGTTTGCTTATCTGCCTCCCGCTCCCCCCTCCGCCTACGGCGTGAGTGCTGGCAAGCGCGGGTCTCCTATTGAAGTCAAGCGGGAAGGGAAAGGAACTCTGGGGACTCAGGATCGGACCCCAGGACTGAAAATGTTCCACGTTGCAATGGCTCTAAGAAGAAATCTCCAGTTTCGATTTCTTGAGGCTACATCAGCAACAAGTTGCCAGCCTCAACATACCTGGGAAAGGGTCTCTTGGTCAAAAACGTTTTCGGGGTTCCTCCTTCCTTCCTTCCTTCCTTCCTTTCAATGATGCGCTGTCTCGCCACTGACCCCCTTCCAGGTGTCTTTAAAAAACAGAGCTATTCGGAGTCTATACGGGAGTATTTCCTTTGAACCATGGCACAGTGCAAACCTATACAGCGAGGTGCACCGGGGGGAGGGAAGGGAGAAGGGGTCAGAGAAATTAATGAACCCGGTTTGAGCCCCTTCCCCTATTTAATTTGTTTTCCACGACCTCACCCCTGTTTCCATGTCTTCTCATCCAAGATTTTTAGGTAGTTGGGAAACCATCGATTCTTTTAAAAGCAGTTGTTTGGATCTGCCAGCATAATCCTCACCGGGTTTCTAAACAGTATTTCAGACAATGAAAGATCTTATTACTGCAAAGTACATTCCAGAGGAATAAATTTAATTTTATATGTACAGTATGTACAGTATGTTCATACTATTTGATAATATATGTATATTAGTATGTGTACAGACAAATTAAATCAGCAAGTATATATATATATATACTTGCTGATTTAATTTTAGAGTCTATAAATATTTTATTAAATTGGTCATTAATTAGAAATTAATGCTTAAGTGCCGTTAAAAAGCTATTTATATATTTTTCTAAGGCAACTGATAAAGACAGCTTTCCGCATAAAAAGTTGCACTTTTGTATCAGTTTGAAAGTCAATAAAAAGCTCTTAAACGCTGAGTCACTTTTTAAAGTTTTGTACAACAGTACTAAAGACGAGCTGAGTTATCTAGCCCTCTTTGCTTCCTGGCTGACCTACAGAGTTGTGGGAAGCGGAAGATCATAGTACTTATGCAGCTAAATAACTTCTCAAATCTCTGCAAATGCCCTAATGTATGAAGGTTTTATGTAGAAATCTTTGGATTTAATCATAGGTAGATGTAGATATAGATATAGTTTAAAATATTAGCAAAATGTGTGTCTATAGATATAAAATATTAGCAAAATGCTAACATTTAAAATCTAAATAATGTTTTAAATGTTTAACATCAGTTGTGAAACAAATCCAAAGTGCCACTTTTCTATTAATGAACAGTCAGGGAATTTATCCAAATAGAAATCATTTGCTGATGTTACAAACGTTCAATACACAAACATTCGTATTAAACATTGCTAATCACTTTCCTGTTAAACTTCTATTGGGGTGGGTCCGTTGAATTTCCATGGTCAAAAAATTGTGTGCTTCCAGGGCAAATGAAACATTTAAAGGGGTAATAAATTAAAAGCGACGCCAGAGTTTAGTGTCTACGGCCAACTTAGAAACATTTCCGCTTTCAGAGAGTTAAATTTGTCTTTTTTACAATCAACTGCAACTTTTGCCTTTCTTTAGAAAGGACAACAAAAAGATTTCACGCATAACTTGGCCTGAACAAAGAGACCTCACGCCAGTTTTTACTGTTGTAGGCTGACAACGGGGCATGGGGTAGGACCTAATTTTATACACACTTGCGGGGGTAGCTCTGAAAACTAACTTGAGCTTTAGGAATGAATATAAAGTACACCTATACAGTTAAGTTTGTGAAGCGCTTTGAGATCTGCAGAAGAAAGCACAGTATAAAACCGAGATACTATATGTAAAGTGTAGGTAGATGAACTAAGTATATCTGCAAAGTATAATAAAATATATCTAGCTAAATAAATGTATAAATCATAAGTATACCTAGCTACAAAGTATATTTTTGTATAAAGTATATTTTAGTTATAGCTATATGTCTATTCTTCTGTATAGCTATTTTTGTATTTGAAAACAGAATTGTCAAACTATTGGCAATTTTTTTTAATTAGACGATTGACAATGTCTTCCTCAAACTCACAATTCTCTTTAACCAAAAAATAAGGTACTTTTAAAATTGAATCCATGCTGTATACATTTTAATGCAAACAACAGTGAGCAGTTAGCAGAGCTGTAGCTTGCATATGCACAAACAGACCGGATAGCAATTCACAACCTTTTCTTTTCTTTTCTTTTCTTTTCTTTTCTTTTCTTTTCTTTTCTTTTCAACAACATACAGGTTTGTTTTCATACTGAGAGAATTTCTCCTTTCCTTTCCTTTTTCCTGACCCCTGATATTCTCAGGAATCCACATAAACTGAACTTTTTTGGTCCTGTCAAAAAGGTGCCATTTTCAATTCTGAATCACCCTCCTTCCCCATAAAAATGTGGCTGCAACTCTGAACAAACACAAAGATGAGAACCGGGGTCCTCCATAAGATTAACATAAAGTGTAAGGACATTTCTCAAAGTTACCGTTTTTGCTGCGTTACTGATTAAAATGGAGGAGGCGAGCTGCCACTGAGAAACAGCGTAACACTGGTGTAGCTGGGAGCAGCGAACTCGGTGCCAAGCGAGATTCAAACAATTCCCACCGCCCCTGCATCCCGCTGCCTTGAGCTCGGAGCCCGGCTTAAATTTACGAGATTAAGGCAGAAGAAGCGGGTCCCGCTGATTCAGTTCCGCAATTAGCCCGCCATTCAAAGCCCCCTCATACCTAACTTTGTACCTAATTTGCTTTTGGTTTGATTTGCTCGTTTTCCTCCTTTCTCGTGCCTCCTCCACTCCCTGCAACCCCTCTCAGCTTTTCCAGCTATCAAAGCTGTGGCAGGGAAAGTTCTCAAATCCGTGCCAAGGCCAGTGCGATCTAGCAGAGCCACGGTAGTTGCGCTCTGGCTACTCTCAGCTCCAACCTGGAGCTAACAGAACTCAGCTGCTGGTGGTCGGATACCTGCCCAACTTAACTGTACAGTCCCATCCTGACGCGATGATTCCTGGCGAAGTAACAGTGTAATAAACGACCGTGGTATTCAATCCTGCACTTTTTGCCAAAACTTAAACTTCTCCCGTGTGGTTAACGAGGGAGGCGATCCTGAACAATTCAGCCATTCGTCGCCTCCCGACAGTTACCCAGGGAAACAATTCTGGTTGGTGAGCTAAATAGTTTTTTGTCTCTATGCTGACCAGATTTTTTTCTATGGGAAGACTGGTTTTGTGTAGGTATCTGTTCCTCTTTCGCCTATTGAATGGTTAGATATAATCAAGCTACAGGAGTCAGCAAATACATAGATATTCTTTGAACATTGTGTCTGTGTGATTTGTACACCTCCATACATAGCATGTAAACATACACACTCTTCAACATAGTCCTCTTACTAAAATAGAATTTAGTGGTTAAAACGCGGCTTTTCATTTGTAAGTGTCACTTAGTATAATGATTCTTCTGCCTCTCCTAAAAATTCCCCTACGATATTGAAATTGCTTTTGTTGTTAGATTAATACAAACGCTTGAGGCCTTTCTGGAAAACCTTTATCATGGGTTATTTTACGAGGGAAAATAATTGTTCTCACTCCTTTAAAACCTAACACCACAAACTTTCTATCTAGCAGAATCAGAAAGGAAGAAGATTGACTTACCTCTGAATGGATGATTACGCTGGGGAAGGGGAACTTTTTTGGAAGAGGTTTGTTTGATAGCTGTACGGACAGATGCAATTCATAGGCGAAGCTGATTGTCAGTAACGCTATAGATTAGCATGGGGTCTGCAGCACACAGATTCTGATCAATACCCCTGCACTCACATGCCAGATGGTTTTGGCAAAGACAAAAATAAAATAGTTTAAATCAACTTACTATTATTGTATCTTTTTGTGCTTCTCTAATAAACCTAGCTGGAGAGTAAATGGTCTTCCTACAAGCATAGAATTTTAGGCATTTCTGAATATTCTGAAAATGACTAGTTCTACCTCTAAAATAGATGTTTTGTTTGTAAATAATCAACAAAACAATCGAAGACTGATCTAGATTGTGAGCTGTAAGCTTTGTTTATTTCTGTAAATATATATATATATATATATACTTACAATATATTTATAGTTTATTGTACATTAATAATATATATTTACCAAGCTTTGGTTTCTGATATATTTAATCTAATTGAGAGTATTTATATCTCATTAATTTGCCTGCTGTCTTGATTTTAAAAAATAGAACATAAAACACCCTATTGTAAAATGTTTATATAATATTTACTTTTATCACACTGTTATTCAGGGTGATTATACTCTCCTATCTAGCTGTGTAATATTTAAAGTGGAATATTACAATGTACTTGTATAACATCTACAGGCTAGCTTGATCAAATAATATAAATGAAGGAATTGTATTGACCATATCTCACACTTTCTGCATTGTTTACCAGTATATTGAAAAATCATTGGGGCAAGGGAAAAACTCAATGGAATCAAAAGAGTAAAACATGGACTTTTAAATTCCGCAAAGTTCAGTTATCAGAGCTCTACTCGTGGCCTTTGAAGCAGGAGTTTTAATCTAATGTTACCATTTTAAAAAATCACAAACAAGTTAGCTCTTTAAAAATGTTTCAGACTGCTATCAAAATTGCCACTGCATAAATGAACCAAAATAAGGAACAATACCATAAAATATTTTACTAAGAGGGGGAGGAGAGACTTCATTAAATGAGGACCTTAGCCTGTGGTTCATTCAGACTGTGCATCTCTCATGTAAATGTTTGCTAAGGGTAAACCTCAACATGTCCCTCTTCTATTAGAAACTAAACGTGAAATCTGTCGAAATCCTGCCCGGTAGAGACACAAAGAAAGAAATGGGATTGAACAGAGAAACCCAGTATTGATCCGGAGGTGGGAGCATGCAACAACTCACCTTTAAACTCCATCACATGTGATCATGCCCAAGCCGAGAAGCGCAGCTCAGAGAACATCTTGATCATGGAAAAGGGTTTATTTTACAGCTTGCGCCCCGTGCCCTGTAAGAGCCACCCCTCATCCCAAAACCACTCCCAGAAAAGAAAGAAATAATATGCTAATATATTGATGTCAGAAGAGCTTCTTATTTGTGAAAGTGTGAAGTTACTGGGGATGAAGGACAGATTATTACAAAGGCATTAAAAGCAGCTGTTCTTCAGAATGGCTTTTAAAAAACCTGCATGGAATTCTTCAGGGGGTGTACACTCTCCTTGGGTGTCAGTGGTGACCCCAAACAACTAGACACTGAAAGAGCTTACAATAGCGTGAGCTTTTGTAGTGAATTATATATATCTGACAGCCAAGGCGACCCTCCCTTTATACCTACAAAAAAGTAACCATTTACTAAATAGATATGGTACAAGAGGGAGGAACGGATCAGTTAAGAGAATACTTGCACTGACCAGAACTCTCTCAAGTTGGCCCATAACGTTATATTCCTGTGAGGGGATGTTTTCTCCGTGTGCGGATAGGAGAAAGAGAAAGGTCAAGGGAGAGTCAGAAGTGATTTCCAAAGGAATCAAACCTCTTTCTAGCCAAGATGACACATACAGTATTTTGGGCACTTTTCCTTCTTTTCTTATCAAGTTTTCTCTAACAGCTGGAAGTGGTTGGAAGGGGCTGTCTTAAGAAGACCCCCTGCCCTTCTTTTGACAGCTGATCAAAAGAAAATAGGTCACGCTTTTCAAACTTATGTCCACCCTGCCCTTAATTACTGTCTCTTTAAACAAAGGCAACATCTGCGCAACCTCAGCCTGCTCAAACCTCGAGAATAACACAGGGAGAACAACCTGCTCTCTAAGAATCTGTTACTTTGGGGGCAGGCAGGGGCTGCTGGCTGCAATGCCCTTTCTCTTGGTGATTGTCTTTCTTCACGGTTTACAGCGGACACAGATTCAAGGAATAGATATGTAGAGGGGCTTTTGAAGAGAGGAGGCAAAACGAAAAGACAGGCCCTTGTCATGCCTTCAGAATCCACTGATCCATTTCAGAACTGAATTAGGACTATGCAAAAAAAAAAGTGGATTGCCTTCTGGAACGCAGAGATTTCACAGCCATATGGCAGCGCGTGCTGTTTTTTCGGGGGGAAGGGAGGGGGCTGCGCTGCGCTGCGCTGCGCAGCTTTTTAAAAAGTCAGATGAGCCTGGAGCAGGCTGTCTAGGCGCGCTGCAGAACTGGAGGAGGTGGGGGGGGAGGGGCTGCAAAACTTTATTACTACAAATAATTAGAACTCTTGGGGGGCATTGTTTTTATGGTGTTCTTCGCTTGAGTTTAAAATATTAATATCTAAAGTGCTGGGAGCTCCAGCTTTGTTTGGCAGCGAGACGGAATAATGTAATAAACCAGCGATTGATAAGAACAAATTTGAGGAACTGCATAATTAAAATCCTGTTACTGGACTAAGTTGGCGGGCGCTGGGCAAGCGCAACCCGCCCAGATTTTGTGCCGGGGGTTTAAAAATATCGCCCCTGGGTTGGCAGGCAGAGTGGAGAGACGGTCCCTGGAGCGGGGTCCCTCTCGGGGACCCTGAATGACAAGGCTGGCTGGGTGTCCAGCAGCAGCCGGGCGCTTTCGTAGGCATTTGTGTCCAGTCACGA